CAACAAGAATTTCTTTCTTTTTTTTCAAAGACGATTCAGTAAAGTATTTATAATCTTCTTCTTCAGTATTTAGACACCTTCAATACCGAATGATCATCTTTTTCATGGAAAACAAGAAGAAAAATAATGATATCATAATGATAATGAGAATATATTCCCATCTGGAGAGAGAGAGAGAGAATTCTTTCCTGAAGAATTTCCTACTGCACACACAGACACAAACATATTTTCATCTTGAAATGTCTTACTTACTTACTAATGATGATGATGATCATCATCAACAAAAAAAAAGTGAAAATATTGATTATAGCCAATGGGCAAAATCATCATCATCATCTTGATTCTTGATTCTTAATTTTTGTTTTCATATCAAAAAAGAAATGAAATAAGACTTTGAACATCAGAATTTCATCAGAAAAGTGAATATTGTTTCGACAAATATAAATTCTTTTCCGATCCAAAAGCATCATTTTCGAAAAGTTTCCCGAAAATAATAGCATTTTTCATGAAGAAAATTTTTCCATTAATTCAAGTCAAACACACACTTAGACAAGGAATGTGAAAAGGCAAAGTCCGAAAAACGAACGAATCATCAATCAATCCGGTTAACCCACCATTACCATCATCCCGACAACAACGAAAAAAACAACAGCTTTATCATGGCGATGATCCGAAACGAAAAAAATTAAAAATGCAAAGCAGTGAAGCCATCATTCAATTGAAAATTTTATTTAAATTTTCAACTATTTCGACACTGCAAACACAAACAAGACAGACTGACAACGGTTGAATCGAAACAGCAAAGGGGGATAAATTCATTTTTTTATCCATCATCATTCTTTTTGGGTTAACTTTTTCCAACATCATCAACAACAACAACGGTTCCAAAAAAAGAATCCCCAAACATCCTTGGTTGCTGTTGTTATTGAATTGGCGGCGTCATATTGAATTGACTTGAATGAATGAATGACTAGTTCGTTGACTGACTGACTGACCGACCATTGAAAACAAACAAAACGAAACGAAAAACTGTGCATCTTTATCATCATCATTATTACGACATCATCACGATCATCATCAGCATCAGCATCATAAAAAATATATTTTATTTTATTATTTACCGCTATTCGTTTCTACGAATAACCGACATTCAAACAGAATATGAATTGAATTGAATGAATGAAAACAGAATTTGAAAATGAAAAATCGATTTTGATGGTGGAACGTCGTACGCACACACCAATAGATATTTGCAAAGACACAGAATACAAGAATACACAGAATACAAGAATAACAATAGCCTGAACAAGTCAACAACAACTGCTACTGATATTGGATGATTTAGAAGAAAAGTTGTTGTTGTTTGTCGTTTGTTGTTGTTGTTGTTATTGACAAATAATTAATTTATCAAAAACAAAAGCAAAAAAAAATTTACTGTAAAAAAAAATTATTATTAATATCCACCATTGAATTGTTGATTATCTTCTGGTTTCTGTGTTGGTGGATAAATCTCTTTGCTTGTTGAAATTTTTTTGTAAACATTTTTTTGGTTCCAAGTATGTTTTTCAACTTTGTTTTCCGCTTCTTTTCACTTTCAATCTAATAATTTATTTGATTTTTATTACTTTGAATAAAAACGATTATCCATCAAGCGATCCAAAACCCGAAAAGAGAGAATATTGAAGAAGAAGACTATTTCCACATAACTGATGATGATTTTCAACATTTTTTTTCCTCAAAATATATAAATGATATTTTCATCACTCAAATATTTGGTTTTCTAAATGATGATTTTCTTTTTTGGGATCATTTTCATAGGAAGGGGATATAGAGAGGGGATGACTATTTCGACTGCTACTACTTGATAGTAGTAGCAGTTAAAGTAATGAAAGTGAAAATAGTTGAGAGAGACATCATCATCATAAACATAACATTAGTGAACGGATGTTGTTGTTGTTGAAAATTCCCAACAACAAAATCCATCACCAATCAAGAATCATCAATGAGAAAAAAGGAAGGCAGAAACAAAAAAACAAGATGCCATCATTATTCTGAGATGGGCAATGATGATGACCATCATTATTTGATGGGGTGGGATAAAAAAAAGAGAAGGAGGGGTGGAGAAAGAGGAGGGGGGATTCAAACTTTGAATAAAAAACAAAATTCTTCTGTCAGAATATATTTCTATTTGGACGAATTTCTTCATCATCATCATCAACAACAAACGACAATATATAATAGCCATCATCAGAAGATCAAGAAATATGACTACACAAAAGAGAAAAAAAAATAGAAAACGGTAATCATTTAAGGCAATGTTTTTTTTAGCCAGACAAGAAAATCAAGAAAAAACCAAGAAACGAGAATCGAAGCAAGCAAAAAACAATCATCAGATTCAGTCAAATGGATAGAGAGAGAGAGAGAGAGAGAGAGAGAGAGAGAGAGAGAGAGAGAGAATAACATTGAGCCTGATCTCCTTTTTTTTTTCTTCTTCGGTTGTTNGAGAGAGAGAGAGAGAGAGAGAGAGAGAGAGAATATCTTACAAAGAATTGAAACAAAAAACCAGAACCAGAATTTTGTTTTTTTTATATCCATTAAATCATGGCTACAACTGGATTCAACAAAAACAAAACAAAAAATGATGAAAACAAAACATGATGGCTACTAATAATGTCGTTCAATAATAATAATAATAATAATGATGATAACTTTGATGGTAAAATGGTAATTGTGGTGATGATGATGATGATTACTTGGCGATCAACGAAATGAAATGAAATTATTACTGGAAAACACAAAATCTGATCAAAAGGAAAAATGATATTAAAGAAACAACAACAACAATTTGAACTATGGTTAATAAACAACAACAACAACAACAACAAAAATAATCGACACTGACAACAACAGCAGCAAGCAGGCAGGCAGTAGTAAAAGTAACGTTTTTTATTTTTTGGTTCCTGGAACAAGAATTCTGGAATTCCAGAACAGAATCGTCGGGATAGATTGAAACCAAATACTTTTTTGGAGAGATTTGATACAACACAAAACCAACTCTGATCGATCGACACAAAATATCTTGTTGGATTTTTTTTCTTCTGTGTTTTTTCTTATTTGGATGTCGAGATTTATCAATAATAATCTCAGGAATCATTCAGAAGCGTCATTGACTTGTTGTGACTGGCTGCCTGGCTGGCTGGCTGAAATTATACAGCCATCTTTAAATAATTCGTTAACGATGATGGAAACAAGAGGGGAGAGAATTTCATATCGCAAGTCTCTGGAGCAATATTTGACTTGAATTTTGGAAAACTCGAATTTTGGAAAAACCGAAAAGAATCAAATTAAACTGACATTGCAAATTTTGGCCAAATAGAATGGCCAGAAAAGAAGCGAAGATCAAATTCCCGTATCATTATCATCAGTTTTTGGATATAATTATATAACACATATATTGTAATTGTAAAAAAAGTTTAATAGGATTATTTTATCTATAGTGATGATGATAATCGATACTATCGATATTTTTTTGTTTATCATTCGAATCGATAATCCTTTTAATTTTATCAAAAAAAGGGGAGGATATTTGAACAAAATTCTCTACAACAACAAGTGTAACATTGATTTTGTTGTTGTTGATTTTGCTGTTGTTTAACGGGAAGAAAAATCATTGACAAAACGATTAAATAACAGAAAACAACAAAAAATACTAAAATTAACAATAATTATTAGTAATGACCGACAACAACAACGCAAACAAAACAAAACAAATAAAATTGATCCGTTGAAAAAAACGTTTTTATAAATGACCATTCTTTTGATTGAACTTCCTCCCCCCTTCCCAAAACAAAAAACAGAATCGACAGAATAATGAAAGAGAGAGAGAGAGAGAGAGAGAGAGAGAGAGAGAGAGAGAGAGATAAAATTTAATATAAATATAAAAATTTTTTAT